CCCCTCCCTTTTCCATAGCTACTTATCCAATGCAGGGCGATTATCTGCCAGCTCAGCACAGGGCATACCTCCAAGTACGCAGAGTTTAGTCTCTCTAAACTCCATGTCTTTGGACAGTGGTAGAATCCAGAGTACCCAGAGGTGACCCAGAGGTTTGAAGCTAATATGCTATACATATATTTGACTTATGTGAATGGAAAGTTAATAACCTGCATCATTTTCATATTCATTCACATATCAATCCATATTTTACTGTCACCAAAATGATAGGTAGCCTCAGATTTTTGTGTCAGTTCTTTTGAAACTCAATACATAGAGACTAATTAGCAAAAAAAGATTGGCTGCAGGAATCTATTATAAAAATATCCTCTTCACTGGTCATTCCAAATGATGTACGTGTAAAATAAGAGTTATGCCAGCTTATTTGAATAACTTTACTAGCAGTAGGCAGTTTATTAATGTTCACCTTCCTGGCTGCTATAAAACCTGATATATTCCAGGGGCGTCATGTGATGGACGTCCACCATGAGAAATGAAGGAATGGTGGAATATTTTACTCCACGGAACTGCACAATGACTGAGAATGGACAGAAAGCCATTTGATTGAAGGCTACTTCGCTGTGTAGGCGTTAGGCACTGATGAGGAACAATAGACTCTGATTGAGAGGCTACACATTAGTCAGTGGATTTTCTCTTCATACTTCGCACTAGCAGATGACCTTGCCATCTTGTCTAAATAGCCAACTGCCTGCATATTAAATGTGAATAATAAAGATCTTTGTGACAATGTTCTTTTATCCTATGGTAGTTCACTTTTTTATATAAGGTTAATCATTGTGATATGTTCACCAGCATTACTCAACCATCACAGCAACAGGCCTTCTGCTAGAATCACAGGCTTGTCATTTAAGTGTGATGAGACTTAGTATCAATTACCCCAGCTTCCTGTTTTGAAATGCATACAGAAGAAGAGCATGTTCCTATGCAAGCTATAATGCTGAATGATATCAATGATGTCATAGAGGTAGCAGGTCACTGCACAGGCAGACTGGACAGACTGGGAGGAATGCAAAGCTGGGGTTAAGGGTTAGGTTGTTATTTGCCAGAACATAGTTTGGGGTGCAGAACAAACTGGTTTATGGTTCACAATGACAAATAACAAGCACCAAAATGTAATCCAAGCCTCAGAGTCAAAATCTATGCTAAGCTGAGATGGTAAACCAGGGGAATCTGGTCATTGAGTCATAATGGGTTCTTGCTTTGTAGGAAGATGTTGTGTAGCTCTTGCTCCTATACTACTTGCACTTGTAACTGCTTAGCTACACTTAGGCCACGTCAACTCACTTGTAAGTCACTTTGGAAAAAACATCTGCAAAATAAAAATAAATGTTAATGTAATTCAAATGTAATACATACCAAGCCTGAAGCACCTTTGGTGAATAGGTTAAAAAAACAGGCTAGAGTTCAGAAAGCAACAGACATCTAAACAAAGTGAGTCAAGGGTTCAGCAAAAAACAGGCTGAAATCCTTGCAATGGTATTACTGAAGAAGTCATTATATTACCTGTAGTCTAAGCAGGGGATAAGAAACAGCTGCATCTAATACTTCAGTGAGGAGTGGTCTGTTTGGGTGTGGCAGCTGGCAGTGTTGTCTATGGGCCTGTGTGACCCTAAAATCCGTCAATTACACCTATGGAGAAGAGCCCATAGATGCTGGGTTCCATGTTCACTGATTTTGACTTCAGTTCCAGAGAATAATGCGTGACATCATTTTTGGGTGGAGAAGGTGGCTTGACAGCACTATAATTGCATGCATCTCCTGCTGGAGAAAGGCCCTGAAATTGCACTTTTAAAAGCCTGTTCTGCCATATGCTAACGATTAGAGAAATGGGCTAAGGGAAGGCACTGTAATAACAGCGCACCGAATCAATGCTTACAGACAGGACTCCCACTGCTCTCTATCAAAGCGCAGGAATATATACAGAGATATGGATGCCTTTCAATGTAAAACCAATGGAAAGGGTTAGGTTGACACACTATTACAGAATAGCTATATATGCCCACAGAAAAACACGCACATCTATGCACATGTTAAATGCTACATTTTTAACAATTACTTTAACAGTTTCTACCAAATACCACATTCACATTCAAAGTCACTGATTACTCTCTAATATATTTTATATATTTTAGATACCAGCATGCACATTATATAATGTAATAGAAGGAAAGACAAATATTTTATAATACAACTTTCAAAACAGTAGTGGGATGCATTCTTGTGGATTTTTCAGGGTATTAAAATAATTCAGAGTATTCAGCCATTCCACCTATCCATCCATAATTGCTTTTTGTGACTCTGAACGGGATTACACTATTACTAGCTGACTATTCACCTGGGACAAGTAAGTACAAACTGGGGAAGATCCTAAAGCATGGTGAAGTCTGAGGGAGAAGCCTGGTGCTCACTTTGTTATCGTCATACCATCTATATACAAGTATATAGTGGCCCAAAATAACGTTGCCCCAGGACTATAGTGCAAAAAAACAAACAGCAGCAACATACACCCAAACCCTAAGGGTCAGTTTTCACAGTAACCGTATCGTGCTTGCCAAGTGCAAAACAGTATAGTGTCTGCTGTTCTGTGTACCTATAATTCTTTTGTGAAGCTGAAAGTGCGACAAGTATGAAACAGTCCAGCAGCATGAGGAGATGCTCCTCGAGACTAAACACCTAGCACACCATGTTCCATTTTCAGGAGAACTTTCAGAAATTTGCCTTCAGTAATCCAAATTAGGTGTATAAACTGAAATGTATTGGATCTCCTATAGTCAATACTGGCAAAATGATGGCACCTTATTTCAGGTGGTTAAACGTTAACTATGTCACAGTGTGGAATGCAAGAATGCATTGTGAAACTGAAAGAAAATTGCGTGTAATTAAAAATACATGACAGGGTTTTTGTACTTTTGAGGAAATAAGGTAAGAAGTAGAGTCATTGCTGTTTGCTTTGCGTTTGAAGTCAATTGTAGGTTAAAACAGAAAAAAATACTGTTTTTTCCATGTAGCTTCAAGAGTGGAAATCTCTTGCAGAGCATTGCAGAAATTTCCGTCTTACCTGTCAGGACATTCATTCACAAACTTTGGTGAACATGGCCAAGATACAGAAGCCACCATACAGTGCACATATTCTTTGTTTACTACAGATGATGTGTTCCTGAGTCACACTATAATGACTTCAAAAAAATTGTTCCATCCTGGGAGTGTAAGAGATTTGCTTATGCACGATTATTTCATGCTCATTATAGAATAAGAGTGTTGTCATCTGGCCAGGATGCAAATGTCATGCTGGATAATGAATTCAAAAGTTATCAGAGTAGTAAATCTGTCCGTGATTCAGTGGCTGATTGAACTACAGTAAAAAATTTAATCAGAATATTGACTAACTGCATAAAAACAAATGCGGCTGAACCACACCATATAGTACACTTGGGACTTGGGAAATCCGAGGTGGACGCTTCTGTTGTACCCTTGAACCATTGTCTCATTAACATATGTAATAGTACAGACAAGATCTGAATGAAATTATCAACCCCAGTATGTATAAATTGAAACAAGTTCTTTGACCCCACTCTCTCATCTGCACAGTGATGAAAGACAATGTATTACTTTTCAGGATGATGTAGCATGACATTTTGCAAATGCAATAAAATCTGTCTGTGGTTTACTTGCTGTCTGTTCAGCAAGGTCCTGATTATTAGATTCCCGTTTGATTGCAAAATAACTTCACAATTTCAGAGTGAGAATGCATTAGCCTACTCTTCAGGTAGATCCTGTTAGGGTGGGGCATCATGAAGGAAACAGAGGACTTTATTTAACTAAACAGAAGAGAAAGGGTAAACCACAAAATAATGGGACCTCGAGGGGTCAAAAACAAAACAGGAAAAATAAGAACTGACTACAAATTAACTATGAAGTAATATACCAGGAAACTGAGAAACTGGGAGCTAGCCTGGGCGAGAACCACAGCTGCCAACACGGAGTCATGACAACAATCACTGACCGAGATAAAAAGGACTAACAAGGGGCAGGTGTAGACCATAACAAAAACAACCAGCTAATAAAGGCACAGAACAACAAGCAACATGTTACGATTGGCGTGCGAGGCAAGTGGGGAATCAGATGAGAGAGCCGCGAATACTATAACATGGGGTTTATTCAGGGCAGACAGCAACGAACATCAAACATCATTGACAAATCTGGGGAATACTGACTCAGACGCAGACTAAATACATGGAACAAGTTGAACATAACAGGCAACAGGTGAATACAATCGGGAATTAACACGAGGTAACGAGGGGGGCGTGGCACACACGAGGATCCGATGAGCCGGGCCTGACAGAACCCCCCCCCCCCCAAAGGCCCCAGGGGAGGCGACGGACGAGACGAGACCGGGGAAACAGGACCTGGAAAAC